AGATACGCCTAATTTTTGAAACACTTTTCATAACTAAAGCCACAAAAAATTTGGATTTTTGTATGGTAGCCATGTCTGTAGAGTAGATTCAGCAATGTAGCAAAGAATAAAAAAGAAAGAATTTGTGTATATGTGTATATAAGCTAAGAAATACAAACATGATTCGTTCGCTGTCGAACAAAAGTGTGGTTTCTGAAGATGAAATCAACACATTTTATAACAGCACAAAAGGTGGCGTTGATCATTCAGATCAACTGTGTCATAGCTATTCATGTCAACGAGGCAAAAATCGTTGGCCTTTCTTCATAAACTTGATCAATGTATATGGACTCCACATTGTGGAGTCGCTGCGTTCATTGTTTATAATGCAAGAAATGGAATTACACGATAATTTTGTTCGTTTCATAGACTTTTCATACATTTTGTATGTATTATTTGGGCGGTCCAATGGACCGACTCTATCCGTTCAAGTTTTTTTTAACTCTATACCTAGGAGGGTTAAGGGTATCTCTCATACAAAATATTCGTTTTTGGGCCAAAAATTGAAATATTTGTATATATCTATCTTTTCTCTAATGATATTTTTCGGTAAAGATAGATAGATATGAGGCGTATCTAAATTATTAATATAGCAGTTAGATAGATATTAGATTTTATCTATCTACGATATCTTTTATAGATATAGATAGATACGTATCTATGAAAAACCCTGAATATGAATTTCGACTAAATAAAATGTTTTTGATTCTTCGATATAACTTTTTATTATTTTTCATTTTAATTTTGAAAAGAAATGAAAATCACATTCAAAATGTTTGAAGGAACTGGACTCTCACGGGAACTGGATAAAAAAAGAAATTATTCTTTTTTCATTTGAATTGTATTATAATGATATTTGCCTGGTATCTGTGATGGGATTTCAATATTATTTATCAACAACTTGAAGAGTGAGTCAATGTGAAACGTAAATTCATTATCATCTAATGTTTGATCTTTCTAATTTTCCAAATGTTTTATGGATAAATAGATAAAATCAATTAGATAAGAATGTTTTTTTACGAAATGGCATCTTCCTTTTAATAGATACTGTGATTGCTTAAAGAACTTTACCCATATTGTTCGTAAATTTGTAAATCTTACTTAGCATGAAAGCCTTGAAAGAGAAATGTTAAAGCTATGTATTGAAAAGGGCCAGCAAAAATTAAATATATTTCTTACCCAAAGGAACGATTAAAACAGGAGCAACTTTAATCAAAGCACACCCCAAAATGAAGAGTAATAAAGTTAACTAAATTAATACATTGGAACTCTCAAATATTTTAAGCGTAATAATTCTTAATTTGGATTGTTTATTGATTTAAAGAATTTGTATAACTTAAACATTCTCCATACGCGGAGAAAAACCAATTAAATTCAACGCTGAGCTCATATACTAGAACACTAGTCAGAATTCGAATGTTATTTTGCTTGATACATACTTCGTTTATTTTGAGGCGATGATTATTATATTTTTGCCAATACTTATGTATGATTCTATTAAATCAGGAACTAAGAAAAACGATACAAACGTATGTGATGCAAGTATATCAAATAAAAACTAACAAATCACAAAGGTCATGTGGGACAGAATTCATTATCAAAGCGAATTTGTATGATTTCATAAAAAAATGTCTGTACACTAACACAGAACATATACGAGTCAAATTACATTCATATATCAATGAAGAAAAACAATCTCAAAATAGGCTTCTTCCATCTGTAAATTAACATAAAAAAGATAAGACACAGTAGATAGTTGCGTTGATGAAGATTTTTGCCTGACATAATCAATCATATGGTATTTTATTGACTTTAAAAAATAACATATGGAAAAACAAAGCAATTTTCAGTAAGTTTAAAATATTATTCAGAAGATGGAGTATTTAATCGGAGCCGTAGCCCGAGTACCCTCCGTATCCTCCTGATCCGCGACGACGACCGTGGTAGCCACCGTAATGCCCACGATTATATCCATATCCGCCTCTATTATACCCGTAAGATGGGAATCCAAAGACTACAATTAAATCAAACAGATCGGAATTGATTATATTTATCCACTTTTTCACGAAATATTTCAACCTACACTGTGGTTTAGGTACTGCAGACACTTTGATTACAGTGATCAATAGCGCAAAAAGAATAACACCAATAATAAACTATACGAAAATAGAAAAATTATTTAAATGTTTTCAAACCAAATATTTAGAATAATTCACCAAATTCATGTTTGAAACAAATATCCTTCACGCCCAAAAAATGTTTAAAATTCAAATCTCGAGATGAGCTCTTGTTAAAATGCTTTGGATATTTGATCGAACTCGATTTCATAGCAGTCCCTTTTATACTGACGATCTCAATAGCCGAAAAAACGTATTAAAATAAAAAAAAAATCAGACAGACTACAAGCCTTATTAAAACCAGTTTCTTTTGGGGTATTTCCAATCATCATTACAAATTGCGCCGATCCTAAAAAACATCGTCACCGTCATCGAAAATATAAATGATCATATAAAACAATGACTCTTTGCAATGTTATATGCAAATTCAAATAAGTAACGCATTTTTTAGGCGAGACACAGCGAAACAAGTCTTTTAACCTGATTATTTATCCGTATCCCGGCTATTCGAAAACTTGTGAAATAAAACGTGAATAAATAAAGTGAGAATAAATAAAATGCAAAAATTTCATTCCATTGCGTACAACGAGACTTAAACTTATCTTGAACAGAAAAAATAAGGATAAGTAACTCTTTCCATGTAATGATTTTAATCAAACCTAATGAGAGGATATATTGCACATAAAGCGATGAACTTGAAATTACAGTGAACAACTCCGAATGTCCATTTTTTCCTTCCGTGTAAGTTTAAGAACTAGTTAGTCAATTTGTTGAGTATTTATATTTATTGGAAGAAAACAAAAACATAATGAAGTAAATGTTTTATGGCTAATTTCAAATATTAACCGATGATGATGGTGGTTATGTGAGTGACCATAATATCCTCTTCCATAGCCTCCATGTCGATCACCATAATACCCTCTATCATAGTCTCCATAATATCCTTGCCCAAAATTTCCGAATACCTGTAACAGTCCACCAAGTGGGGATCCACCGAAAACTATAATTAAGACAATCAGAATGGAATTAGTTCAATGAATCGATTTCATTTCGAATAATAACAAGTTACATTGTGGTTGAGGTGCTGCAGACACAGTGATCATAGTCACCAAAGTTGCAAATAGAACGACTCCAATGTACTGTGTGAAAACAAAAAAAAAATTAATAGAATATTTTTAATCCAAATATTCAAACTCATAATTCCATGGCCTGGAAATGCCTATGTAATTTACATCTAAACGAGTGAGACTCAAACATTTGCTTCTTCTTCAAAACAATACATACACACTTACTCACAAACATCAAAAGTATACGCCATAACAGCAGTGCAAACACAAATACATGCGTGCGCTTTTCAGCTTTGTTTCTGTGATGAATACTTATTGACTTCTGCTGTACATGTGATGCTTGTGTATGTATTGTTTTGAAGAAGAAGCACATGTTTGAATCTCACTCATCTCCGCCCCTTGCATAATTCATAACATACAACTCACCTTATTCATGCTTTTAACTAACTCTATAAATTTATATATAAAAATTCAAATCTCGAGATGCGTTGTTCAAACGTTGTGGATATTTGACTTGACTCGATTTCATTGCAGTCCTATTTAGATAGCCAACAATCGTATTAGATCAACACACTGACGCCAAAATTAGAAATTTAAATGGACAGTTTACATATAAATTTGATCTGATTCTTCGAGAGTATTCCCAATCAAATTGCGTCAATTCAAAATGTCATCGGGAACGTCGTTGATCATATAAAAAAGTGACTTTTAATCTAGGGAATAGACACCAATTTCTAGTACATTTAGTTTCATTTGATATGTATTGAGTTTCTTTTATTTTCTTCTAGTTTCTTTTAGTGTACAAACAAAAACGCAAATATTCTGCTAGTATTTCTAGTATTGGGCCAAATGAATCGCATTGCCAGTGTGAAGACATTTATACTGAGAACAATAGAAACCATTATTCTCACTAAACGCAAATATTTTGTTTACAAAAATGTACTGTTAACGTTATTAATCTCATCATAAAAAAAGTATTGGCAATGTATTTTGTATTGATCGGTCGAAGAATCAATATATTTGTCTTCTAGTGGATTCTAGTATACTTTTAGTTTTGCATAGTAAAAATGTGTGTCTACCCCCTAATGGTGTCTAGCTTTTCATATTTCACTTTTAATAGCATGTGCAAATTAATATTCACAAACCGTCTCAATATTTAATCATCAGAAAATAACGATTATTATTTATTTTCAATTAAAACTGTAATATTTACAATTTATACCAATCATACCATACAATGATTTGACGGCCTAAGAAGAAAACAATAACATACAGAATATTCTACAAAAAGACGAATACAAATTTATGTGAGCAAAAACCAAATATACAAACAGACAGCGCAAA